TTTAAAGGAATTATTTCTTTATTTTGAGAGAGAGAGAAAGAGAGAGTGCATGAACACAAGGGTGGAGTGGCAGAGGGAGAAGGAGAGAGAATATTAAGCAGACTCCACACTGAGCACATAGAGCTTGGGGCTCTATAATCATGACCCTGAGATCATGACCTGAGCTGCAAACATGAGTCAGTGCTATAACCAACTGTGCCACTCAGGTGCCCCTGAAACATGCTAGCATATTCCGAAGACAAAATGCATTTTAATTTAATGTTGAACTAAGAGCATTATATTTGTCATGTATCATCAACAGAGTACTGATACAAAGTATTCACAGAAACAGAAAGTGTGAACATTGTCATTTTAACTGATATTCCTAAGTGTCAGTGTATCCTAAATTAAGCTCATTAGAGTTCATAAATAAATATTGTGTTTAAGCTTAATATAATTTTGTCAAGTGACTTAAATTAACTTTTCCTATTTTGTTCATTTCTATTTTGTTATATTAAAGCAAAAGCCCTGAGACCTTCTAGATGAAATCCTCATATTTTTATCAGAATTGGAATTTTACTGTCAGGAACAAAAAAATCCAATGCACCTCTTCCCTCAGGCTTCTATCTCAGCCTATCCACGCTACTTCTTCCTCCCCATCACCAGATATTTCTGCAGGTGTTGCTTGTGGCCCGTGGCTTCACTTCCCAATCCTCTCATCTCTTCTGAAACTGCTCTCTGGGAGCCCCCCGTGAAGTCTCAGGCACCAGCTTCCCTGAGCTTGCTTGTCTGTTCTCCCTGCTCTCCCGTTCCTAAACTTGTTGCAACACTTGACACTACAGATGGCTCCAATCTTCTCACAACTCCCTTCGTCCTTCTGGGATCCCACCTCTCTGTGCTGGCTATTCCTTTTCAGTTTCTGAGTCTTTCCTTCTCAGCTTAAATTTTGAATCAGCAGACTGCTACTTTGTACCCTTTTCTTTATCTTCCCTCTTCCTGGACAATCTTGTCCCTGTCCATGTTTCTCCCTCCAGCTTCATAAGTTATGTGCATTTCCATGAAAGAAAGACTGTTCTCTCTCTTGGAGCCAGAAACACCCTTGCCCAGCCCAGCTGCTTGGCTAATTCATACTGGATCTGGAAGATGCAGATCAAGACATTATTTTTAATGGCTTAGAAGTCATGTCCACTCAACAATAAGCAAGTCTGTTAGCAAAGGATAAACTTCACTAAATACAGGTTCCCCCACTACCTTAAAGTAGAGTGTGCCCATGAAATTTTATAAGCCAGAATGGAGAAAAGGCAAAGATGCAATTACTACTAATTTATAGTGAAAAGATTTTGAGCATTTCCAGACCCCCCAAAAAACCTCTCTTAGGCCACATCTTACTGATGGAACCACAAAACAAATCTGAAGTCAGATACTCTCAGACACAGTTCAAAGCTATGGCAGACGCTGAGATGTTGGGTGTGGTTCCTAGAGAAGCTGGTGGGGTCGCTCTCGCAGCTGGGGTAAACACGGCCTCTATCTATCCTGCCTCACTCACTGCAAAACAAACGCTGAACGCTATTTTTGTTTCTTGCCCCCCCCTTTTTTTTTGTAAAAGCAAAAATTCCTTTCGGATTTCTCTCAGTGGAAACAGATACCAATGTAAATCTTAAGTAAAAGCAAAACAGCACAAACAGACCATTCAAAATAATAAATATAATAAACTAATAATCACAGGGCAAGTGACAATCAGACAATCTGTTCCAATTTCTAACACATTTACTTGGGGGGATTTCAGAAAAAAAAAAAAAAAAGCAAATATAAACTTGTGGTTGTTGGTTACGGAGCAATACATAAAAATTGTGGGGGAGAGCTCTAGAAAGTAAAATACAAGAAAGGATTTGAACTTTCTCGTGGCCAAGAGCCAGGGCTCATTCTACATGAATCTTACAGACATCCTGTCTAGTTGAAAGTAAACAAAAGTAAATGAAGGTATAATCTGCAACCAGAGGTTACAGCATTATGCTGAAGCCCAGAGAAGCTCTATTCCTCACTTTAGGGACTCGTCACTGTCGTAGATGAAGCCGACTTAACATGCTGACTCTTGCAGCATCATCCGCCGGGGACAAGGCCCAGATAGATCTACAATGAGATCCACTTTATTGGTTAGGGAACCCAGAGGATTTGCAAAGTCTTTATTCACATAGATGCCACTAATGGAAGAATGTGTCTCATTGTCACAAAAGCAAATTGCTCTTCATTTCTATATAAAGTTATTCACTGAAGAAATTCGTCATCAAAATCACAGTTTATGAATAATTTTGGTGTATATTTGTATCCATATGTTCCATAATCATGTAAAATTAGCCTGCACAAAGTAATTATTTTTTCACTTCTTAGGAATACTTCCTTTGTATTTTCTAAATAAAATTCTAGTGTTTATAGCTGCCATTATCTGAAATTATATACTGACCTCAATCTTTCAATTTTCACCAGAATATACCATGTTTGTATTTAGTAAAGAGAAAAGTGTGTGTGTGTATGTGTCGGTATACAGAAAGAAAATATAAGAGAATGGAATTAAGAGATGGTACAGAAATTAAACATTTATGCAAATTAATTTTATAATAAAATGATGTGTGGATCATAAAATATTAAAAGTTTTACTCCACTCAGTAAATTTTAGTTATGAATTTTTTAAATGCTTATTTTCAAGATCTCCATATTCACAGGTGAAAATACTTACATATTGCTCATTATGTTCTTGGTAACCTGCCTATTTTTATTTTTTTAGTTTCATGATTTTCATATCTGAATCATGTTAAAACATTTAGTGAGCTCTCCAAGTGAAATTATTTCTCAACTTATTTCTCAGCACTTCCTATTGTTTCTAGAGTAGCAGATAACATCAGTACAGATGTATAGTTAAAAGACAGACATTCTGTTTATTATTCTTTGGTGACATTTTATTGGAAATGAATTATATTCATGTAGTTTTAACATGAGAACAGAAAATTATAAATCTTAGAAGAGACTAGAAATATGGAGTAGATAGGTCAATGACATTTATAAAGAATATTATCTTAAACAGCTGTCCATTAATATGCTTCTGAGCGTATTGCTTGGCAGACACATTTATAATACAGGGAAGAGCTCGCTAAGGCTTTTATTTCAATTACTGTGAAGATTCTCCAGGGTGACGCTAGGTGTTCAGGATGAAAGGCCATTGTAGTTAGTCAATACATTTTCCGCTACTAATTTTCTCTACTATTTTCTCTACTAATAAGGTTGAAGTACATTATTTAATTGTTTTAGGTTCCAAGATCTTAAAAAGGGTAAAGATGTTAGACTTTACAATGAAGCAAAACCCTAGGGTGCTAGAGGGTTTGCTCTATAGAAACAGGTCTTGTCAGGAGTCATTGAGCTGATGTCTAATATCTATACTGACTTTTATCAGAACACAAGTGGAATGACTGTAGCATGATAATACTGAAAGTGAGCTTCTCAGCTAATCAACACATGTAAACTTCCCCCATAATTCTAATAGCATGGGCTTTCAGCGTGGCTTTCTTATTCAAGTCTAGCTCATGAATCTTGAAAAGGACACTACAAAACCCCCCAGCCCTTTCTTCCTTACCCCTATACAAACAGCTTTTCAGAGGAGTTAACCTAAAGCAACAGAAGGTGAAAGATCAATCATGGGACCACAGAAAGAGCAGCAGTCTGACCTACTGCCCTTTATATACTGGTTTCCTCCAACATAACTAAAAAAAAAAAAGTGAAAAGGGTATTTCCATTTTTTTGATTTATTAATATATTTCTTTTGAGTTTTGCTAGTTCACACAATCAAGAGACTTCTGTCCTAAGCAAGTGACTATCAAATCCCAGCATTTGTAGTAAAAGAAAACAACTACTAATAACTGCAATTTGTTGGTGGTTGATGATTATTAAGCATGCATGTTTGAAATTCAGAATTTTTACATGATGTTTGTCTATCACCCCCTATGTCTCCTCTTCATATTATGTACTTTCTTTTTTTTTTTTTTTTAGAAAAAGAAAGAGTTGAGTTTTATAAATATGTTGATGGAAGAAACTGCTCAAGAAAACCTATGTCTCAGATATATATTCTTGGGAATTTTTTCTCAACTTCAGAATTCAAACATCTTTTTCTCTTCTTAGGAAAATAATTTTTGAACTAACTTAAAATGTCCAAAATGGCTTGTGGCATGTGTTGGCCCAGTTTCTTTTTGTACTAGGATAATTTTTGATGTCTTTCTCAAGTTATACCATTGATGTTCATCTTTAAGACAGTAATAAGCTAGAAACTCTGTAAAGATAGAAGTAATAGCACACTTATATTGTAACAAAACCATTTGTGTCTTCTAAAATCAGTCACTATGAAATGTTATCTTGCCTTCAGGGAGCCTAAGTTTAGAATTAGCATCCCTAAATTATTATATTTAAAGTGAAGACAAATGGATGAATGTAAACTGCCGTCCAATGTCAGTAAAAACGGGACACAATCCCATCCTTAGAGCTGGTAGAAAATATAATCAGACTAATAAATATAAAGCTCAGATGACTGAACCCTATGATAAAGGGGATATATTCTTACCTGAAAATATGGGTTTTTTTTCCTGGTCATTAATTGTACTGTTAATGATTTAAACCATATATTTTGCCTCTGCTTTCTTGTATTTCTAAGGTAATGCTGCTTTATTTTCAAAATGTTTATCATTTCTGGGGTGCCTGGGTGGCTCAGTGGGCTAAAGCCTCTGCCTTCAGCTCGGGTCTTGATCTCGGGGTCCTGGGATCAAGCCCCACATGGGGCTCTCTGCTCGGTGGGGAGCCTGCTTCCTCCTCTCTCTCTGCCTGCCTCTTTGCTTACTTGTGGTCTCTGTCAAATAAATAAATAAATAAACAAACAAATAAATAAAAAATGTTTATCATTTCTATTTGATATTTTTTCCCAAAATTTCTAAGAGCTCCATAGAGTTCCCTATATGTATGCAAAGGTATGCAAAGCACATTACCATTAATCAATGCTGTCATCCTCCCAGGTACACTTCCCTGGCTCAGGAGCCTTATGGGCCCTAGTGAACAGAAAAGGCCCAAGCAGTCAGGAATCAACTTCATAGTGTTTCTTCAGAACCCCCAAAAGGTGATAAGTAACAACCACAGAGCATCAAGGACTCCTTGCATGAAAAACAAAAGTAAAGTACTCAGTAAAAGACAAATAGCTTACTCAGAGAATCAAGATTTCAAGTGATAGGCAAGGGCAAGACTTGTGTACACTTCCTGCAACCTCTACCAGAACATCAACACTGACTCCCAAAGGAGAGTACTGAACTGGGGTGAATCAGCCACCTGGTGTCAGAGCCTGACACTAAGCCTCGGTGGGAGTGGGGGTGGAGAAGGATGTGACCGAAGCTGGTGTGAAGCTGGATCCCATATTGGCAATCATTTTATTTGTCTTTCCTCCAACTTTTAGCCTTCTGGCTCCCTTTCTACATCCTGCTCAACAATCATCCTGTACACTCTTCCCTAGATAATCAACATTTACAACCTGGTGAGTGTGTTTCTGTACCCATTCCCATGAAATCATGTATAGATATAAGGTTTGATCACTGCTTGGGGCCGTATTATATACACATTTCTGTTCCTGACTTCTTCCTTAATACATTTTAGAAACCCCTCAGTGATATAGCTCTAATTCATTCTTCTCAGGAGTTGGTAATACTTCATGTTATTGATATGTCACAATTCATCACCATTCTCTTACCTTTTGTTTATATGTTCATTTGCTACTACAAAAAATTCATTCAGGCAACATGTCTTTATCAGATGGCCCCCTAGTACCATCTGGTTTGACTCCAGGAACAGCAGTGAACAAAGTCCCCGCCCTCACAGAACATCCATTCTAGAAGAGGGGATGGACAACGCTTTATTATGTAACATAATGTGATATTTTTCTAAAGCTAAATAAGGAAATAGAAGGTTACAGGAAATTACTTATTACTTTAAACGCAGAGTTAGGGGGAACTGCTCTCAGACAAATGATCAGAAACCTGAAAGGTTTGAGAGAGTAAACAAGGAGGAGTGTTAGGAGAAGAGCGACCAAGTAGACCGAACAGCACCAGGTCTCTAAAAAGGGGAGCACATGCACAGAGTGACTGAGAATAGAACAGCATGGCGGGTCTGAAGGGAGAGCATGCGCAGAGTGACTGAAGACAAAGGGCAACTCGGCAATGCCCTTGTGACTGATGCGCAATGAGCACTAGGATGGAGGCAAATGCATCAGCAAGATATCGCGCCCAGGGCCCGGATGCTGTAGGGCGTGGTAGGCTATGGTAGGCACTTAAGAAAATGCCACAATAAACATCACAGATCTTGCTAGATTGGTTTCTGAACAGGTTGTCACAATTGACATTTCTACAAGCTGTTTATAAGTATAATGGTTCTCTGATACCAAGTGCAATTTTCTAACTTTTAATAATTTGATGTGTGTAAAGTGGTATCTTTTGTTACTTTAACTTTCATTTCCCCATCTGTTAGGGAAGTTGAACACTTGCTTATTTCTGTTTGATAAGAAGGTAAAGAGTCCTTACTATGTGACATACACTGTTGTTAACACTTCACATGAATTTTCTCATTTAACAACCCAGTGTGATAGAAACCATTAGTTTACAGATGAGGAAACTAAGGCAAAAGGCAGTTAAGTAACTTGTGTAAGGTCTCATAACTAGGTAGTAGTGGGTTAGGAATTTAAATGTACGCAGCCTGGCTCTATAGAGTCCACACAGCTGTTTGCCAGGCATTTGAGTTTGCTATTCTATAAAATCTGCTGATAACCTGAAAGAGTATTAGAAGAAGAGAAAACATGTACAGAAAAGCTATACACATGCAGACTCTTCTCCTTAGCTTATCATGTCCGTCAAACCCAAAGAGAGGTGTGGATATTAGAGCCACTGGTGAGAAATAGGACAGTTTCACTATGTGAACAACAGTATCATCTCAGGTTGAGAATAAAAATGAAATTCTGGTGTCATCTCAGGTCCATTGGCCTTTGTAGTAATAGATACCAGAGCCAGAACTGGAGACTTTAAATTGGCACAAATATAACACAAAGCTCCTGGCCAGGAGAGCTTGCTACAAGGCCCAACACGTATCAACACAAGATATAATTGTCTGGGTTGGTAGGAAATAGTCTTTGAAATATGCCAAAATGTGGACTTTCAAGTGTAATGATAATAAACTAGTTTATAGCAATAAAAATGTGTAAGATGTGTAAATATCAACACTGAAAGGACCCTTTGTAATTATCATTGTCGTCTTTACACAGAACCTCTGGATTTCTTTCTCACTTGATCTACCTTACATTGTATGAGGGACGAAAGGGGAAAAGTGGAAGCAGCCTGGAAAAAGCATAAAAGCCCTGAAGCTCAATGGGAGACAGGGTCTTGAAGAACACAAACCGCAAATAACCTGCCAAGTCTGTGTTCCTTTTTCATGAAAAAGAAGGTTTAAGGATGCCTTAGTAACCTAATACCGACAATATGGAAAAAAGAAATGATTTCAAACTCTGAAACATACACAGCATTTTAAATGAGTATCAAACCCCCATTTAAAATATCTATGTACTCTGTGTTCACCAAAAGGAGAGTAAGAAAAATCTTAGACATGGTCTTGAATCCATCGCAAATTTACAACTCCTGATGTGGGAAGAAAAAGAGGATCCCTGCTGAGCAAGAGGCCTGTGTCTCTGTGGATCACTTTATAAGTTTAAACTTCCATTTTGGACTTAAAGACCGACTTTCAGAATGAAACAAAAAGAAGAAATAAAACATCAGTTATATTTTCTAGTCCTATCATTTGACTTTTAAAATTCCAATCATCTTCCATCAAAAAAATAACGCATTTCTTCTTGTCTAGACAACATAACCTGCTTCCTTCTCAGACACGCCACTTGGGACCCCAGGCTCTGTCTCACTTCACTCACACCATCTTTAATTCCACCAAATCGAGGGCTACATGTCCCTTCCACACCCCAAAACTAGGGAACCCTGCAAAGTGGTGCTTATCATTCTTGAGCCAGTGCTTTCACCAGATTCTGTTTTGAAAAGCATTTGTTCCTGTTTTGTTTTGTTTTAACTTACCTTGTGAAGTCTCATCCCTGTGACATCTGACGGTGGCTTTGGGTGTAGGCTAATTCGAAAAAAGAAAGCAAGTAGTGGTTAGGGAGGCGGCTTTGTGTGGAGCAGACAGGTTGAGCAATCTAACACAGAACGTGCTAAGTTCAGGTCAGCCACCAATTAGTAAAACTGAGAAGTCAACGGTAGTGTTTAACACTAGTCGGCTTAGTGTTCCCACTACTTCCACACATGGAGTAGTGAAGCATTCTGACTGCGTAATTTTAACCACAGAGTTCTGCTTTTTTAAAATATTTATTCCACCTTACCAAGACTTTTTATAATAAACTGTATTTTTAAGAAAGGAAGGCTTCTTCCTTTAAGACCTATTATCCAGGAACCAGTCCATGCATGTCTTAGAATGCATCCCTATTGCGTCTTGTAAGCAAAAAAAAGGATATTAACAGCACCTTCAGGACAGGATCCATCTCATATTTCTTTGCATTTCTCACAATACTAGCACAATGTGTTCCTAGGGGGTGAAGATATGCACGCCTATGTCGTTTATTTGATCATCCACTCATCCATTTATTCACTCATCTAAATTATTAGATGTATGTATATTAAGCTTCTCTTCTTCATGTCCTGAGGATACAACCACAAATAAGACATAGTCCCTGCCCTGGAGGTCGTAAAATCTGGCTGGGGAAAGAAAACTGAGCCAGTAACTGTGTCCAGCATGTGAGAGGATAATAAAAGTTAATATAGACTATATTGGGCCCCAGTGGGGAGATGGGCAATCTAACTGGGGGTGAAAGAATTGGCCAAAGGAGATTTTTGAACTATAAGAACATCGCATGGGCATTTTCCATGCAAGGAAATGCATTCCCCACTGGAAGTCCAGCATATGCAAAGATCCAGAGGCACAACATCATACAGTATGTTCTGAGAACAGCAGCCAGTTCATATTGATGGAGTACAGAGGATCCTGACCAGGGATGAGATGGAGACATTAACAAGATGATTTTTAACTTCAGGAGCCATTTCTCTCACAATAAAAGTAAATGGCAAGCATATCCATGTAATACTTCTTCAGAAATATTTTAAAGATTGATCACTTAAAAGAGAAGTGTTAACAAAATCTATCAAGGTGCTTTCAATAACATATATAGCTCATGACCAAGGAGAAAAAAAAGGATATTAACAGAGTTTCACAATGGTGAATGTTCTAAATGCTAACTTATGAAATACAAAGAGATTTTAAAATACTAATCCCTTTTAAAGAAAGTATATCCACTCCATTTTCATTTAACATAATGACTTGACCTAAGAGAGAATTACAGCAGCTTTAATAGTATCTGGCACATGGTAGATACTCAACAAATAGATGTTAATGGAACTACCACATACGGTTGCAATTAGCAAATAAAGAAACACTTTGCTTTGCATACTGAGGCCGGCTCCCAAGCCATAGCTGCTACTACTTCTTTGATAAGCAGTCCTTTTCCCCTGGGATCCCTAGAGGCACCTTCACTAGGTCTCTTTTTGGTCCCTGCTCCTAACTAACCTTCCCTCTGTCCCACACAGAGCTGGAGATACTTGAAAATGTGGTTGCTAGGTGCGACTGGGAAGCTTTGAAGGAAATAGTCCTGGAGCTATGGGCCTTGGACATGCAAACCAAAGTAGCAGAGCTGCAGTTACCACCACCAACAGCAATTCAAACTATGCAAATCTAAAAGGGAAAAGCACATAACCATTTCTTCTGTGCTCTCATCTTTACTGTCTGGTACTACATTGTTGGGGAGGGAAAAAAGGGGGCAGAGAAAGGACCCTGAAGGAAGTGCGGGAGAGAGAAGAAAGTATTAGGGAACAGGCGTACTATAACAGAAGGCAGTCTGACAGAGTGGTGCCAATTCTCAGGCCAGACCCAGATGCCATTTCAAACTCCAGAAATGCCTCTCTAGACACACCTGCCTCTCCTTAATTCACCACTTCTTGGTGTGCTGCCAATCACTCCCCCTCCCTTCTGGTCCTCTTTAGAACCCCCTTTCCTTAGACTCCTGCCATCCCTTTGTTCGGCAACTACCCCACTATCCTCCTTTCATCAAAATGGATCCCTTAGAAACAATGAGATGGATGGGATTTTGGAAACCACCCAACGCAAACCCCTTATTTCACATCTGAAGAATGGAAAAGATATATGAAGACAGGAAAAGTCTAACTTCTCCTCCAAAACCGTTATTTCTGGAGTGTAGGAGAGATGAACCTCTGTCTCCTGACCATCTCCCCTCCTCCCCCCCAACAAATTCAGGGCCATTCCACCATAAGAGGTTATCACTGCTCCTATCAGCTTATTAGTGGATGACTATGGCTTTAATGTAGGTATCACACACTAAACCTGGACTCTGTCCTCTTTCCAATAAATCATCCGTTGGTACTGAGTCCTTTTATTGCCCATGCTCTGTGCTTCTGTTCTACTTTCCTCACTCAAATACTTTACATGTCAGCCTCAGTTGCCCTGCCCTGTCATGGATCAGTCTATCTCAATGCTCCTACAGCACTCCTTCCCTCCTCTGAACTCCAACCCCTCTCACCTAAAATTCATTTTGGAAGCATTTATTTACTTTCTTGACTAAGCTCTTGAATTGCTATTTGACTTACTCTTATCTTTTGTTCTGACCTAGAAAATAATCTTTTTTTAGGGAGGAAAGAGGCAGAGAGAGAGAAGAGGGAGAATACCAAGCAGGTTCTACGCCCAGCGGGGAGCTGACATGGGGCTTGATCTGATGACCATGAGATCACGACCTGAGCCAAAATCAAGAGGCAGATGCTAAACAAACTGAGCCACCCATGCAACCCCAGAAAATAATTGTCTTGAAAGAAGAAACCCCATTTTATTTACTTCAGTATTTACCCATCAGCTAAGAATATACAGTGCACAGGACAGAAATTTGAGAAATATTTGCACAATGAGTAGACTCCACTAACAGAATGGATGCTTTAATGAAAGAAGGTCACAATAAAAAATAAATATTTCTTAGCATGTAGGCTTCAAATATTCTGTAAATCTTGCTATATGACTAGCTTGGACCATACCAAGAAGATAAATGGGCCAGGCAAAGCTGTAAAAATTCTTTAGCCCTAACCTGTGTTTGTGAATTAAAGAAAGAGGGAGGAAAAAGCTTCATTCAGTTTCTTCAAATTAGAAGGATATGCCTAACTTGGTGATCTTGGAAATCCTACCCAGCTCTTAAACTCTTAAGTACTACAATCTATCCCAATCGCTGGAATTTGGAATGCTTACATTTATAGCAGTCTTCAAAGTGTTTTCCCAGAATTACACTGCAAATCTTTAAAAAAAAAAAAAAGATTTCTTTTAGAGACAGAGAGCTTGCATGCACTCGGGGATGAGGAGTGGTGTGGTAGGAACGTATGTAGGGGGAGGGACAAAAGGAGAGGGAGAAAGAGTCCCAAGCAGATTCCCCCCTGAGCCCAACCAGTGCTCAGTCTCAAGAGCCTGAGGTCACAACCTGAGCTGAAACTAAGAGTGTGGGGCTTAAAAGACTCTACCACCCAGGCATCCCCATCTCCCACTGCCATGCTCCACTGCAAATCTAAGCAAATAACCTCATCCTTCAGCCCTTTCCTTGATGAACCTCTGTCTTATTCCTGAGAAAATATGGGAGGATGTGGTCTAAACTATTTTGGGTTTTGGTTTGTTTGCTTGCTTTATGTCAAGATTGGAGGTCCAGGTGCAAGTATGCTCCAGGAAATTACCTTGTACTCGGGATGTTTTTCCTCTCTAATTAACAATACATAGAAAGTAGAGCCTAAAACACTGTAGGTAAAATAAAAAATAGGTAAATTATAGGTAAAATAAATTTTACTATTTAGACTGAGGACAAAGCTACTACCATTTGAATTTTATATATGGGAATTTGAATACCAAATTACAGATAAACATTTGGAACAAAGTCTGTTCATATATTAGAGAATGTTCCCAGCTACGTTTTATCCAGTAAAATCAATGTTCTTGAACTTATTTTTCTAAATAGAATGTGGTTAAACATTTGAGTGTATATCTAGTCTTTCCTTAATTGGGCCCATAAAGAAGGGACCAAGCTTAACATCTCATCTCTTTCCAATTTCTTTTTTTTTTTAAGATTTTATTTATGTATTTGACAGAAATCACAAGTAGGCAGAGAGGCAGGCAGAGAGAGAGGAGGAAGCAGGCTCCCCGTTGAGCAGAGAGCCGGGTGCAGGGCTCCATCCCAGGACCCTGGGATTATGACCTGACCCGAAAGCAGAGGCTTTAACCCACTGAGCCACCCAGGCGCCCCTCATCTCTTTCCAATTTCTTTGCAGAATGTTTTTGTTTCCTTGGTAAGAAATCAACTACCACATAGTACCTAATAGATGCTATCTCTCTGGAAAAATTTCACTTCCACACATGAAAATTTTAACCTTAAAGTATTCCTTTTAATTGAAGCTTTAGTTACTTATACTCATTTTGAATTGAAATAAAACTTGTTCACTTAGCTCAGTTTAAACTAAATTACCTCAACTGGAAACAAGTAATGTTTTTAGTTTAGTTTAATAGCTTGTTCTTAGTTTTAGTTTAGTTTAATAGCTTGCCCTTACCTAGAATTGTATCTTATCTAAAAAAAAAAAGTGGCTGGTGTATTTCCTACACACTTCTCTATATGAAAGTGCAACAACACAGGTTTTCTTCTAATTTAACAAACTATCAAGCATCAGCTGCACATAGGAACATATACCAATCTAATGTCAGAGGCCACTGAGTTTAAAATAGATTTTCTCTACTCTCAGGCAAACTTCATCACTTGCTAGGGCATATCTGATATCTTTATCCACATTATTCAGATGGAATATCAGCAAAGATTTAACTCAACTCTTTAGTGCAAAATTTCCAGGAAGCATTATAGTAGCAGCATGACACAGAAGCACACATTCAGTCTTTGGAGACAGGCAGGGATTTTAATTCTGGCTCTGTCCCCTATCAGCTGTGTGATTTGGAATAAATTAATTAACCTCTCTAAGCCACAGTGTCTTTATCTGTAAAATAATACCTACCTCTGGGATGTTCAGCCACCAGAGGTGATACAGTTAATAAATAATTGAAGCACTTCCCTGTATTGGTAAATGGCTACTGCCCAAATCTTGCCAATCCCCATACCTGCCCCCCTACACCAGGATCC